TCTATTAACAATGAACATACAAAAAAAATAGCAGAGGGATCGCCCCTACCCGCCTTCTGGTATCTTGTCTCCCTGCCAGCCTACTCTTCTTCATGTACGCAACATACAAAGAGCTTTAAGGTTCTTCGCTGTACTTTCAGAGAACTCGCTTGTTCAACTAATCAGACATTAGTCGCCGGCCGTCATAAAAAGACTGAACTGCAGCTTCAGCATCCTTGCTAGTCACACTCATTCACACCAGTCCATTAGAGCGTAGAGTGCTGATCGTCCTGAGCATCCGGCCCCAGAAGGAGACATCACACTAGACATGGAAAACGCGGAAAAAATAAGCTATAATCACCATAATGGAAACACCGTTACTATGTGTAATGTTTTTATGTTTCATTTCCTGGAACTAGCTGTCATTTACAAAGTCATCTCCATCAGCCAAGGTCCCCATAAACAAGCCAGGCTTAGTTTAGAGATTTTTTCATAGCTAAGAGAGAAAGGTTGAAACGACAACACCAGTGACACTGAATAAAAACACTGACAGGCTAATTATCAATGATTTAATGTCTATTTAGCCAGTGCCCAGTACAATACAAGTGTTTCATTGTCAATATCTTCCAGTTTTCATTGCCCAGGTTTTGTTTTGCATGCCAAAAATGTAATTGTGCTGTCTAGGCCCCAATCTTGCTCCCCATTGCAATCCAATGCCAATAGATCCCCAATAGGCCAAATCATGGTATAATAAAAGCAACTCACAACCAATAAAACGTAGGTATGGACTGTTACTTTTATGAAGCAATGCAAAACACCACATTAGTTTTTGATGAACTCACAAGGTACGCTCTACTGGCTGTAACGAAATGTGTCATTGTATCATTATCCAAACACGATTAAACAATCAGGCGTCATTTCAATTAATAGCAGGTGATATTATTACGCCATTCTGTACGACGTTCATTCAGTCCTTTGCACTTTTTTAATGCATTACACCCCTTAATTTGTTTTTCACTTCCTTTAGTCAATCTTCTTGCATGTAGCTTTAAATTATTTTTCTGTATGTGTCAATATTCATTCACTTAATATATGCTCGTATAACTAAATATTTCTACAATTAATTCTATATCGCCAAAGCGTGTGGGAAAGTGAAACCCCAACACCCTGGCTGGCATGGACAATAGAGTATCTCACCCAACAGACCACCAGTATGCGCCCTCCAACAGAAGTTCCTCAGATGACACACTGCACAACACCCCATGCTCTCCCTACAAGAAGGGCCAGATTCGCCTCCCCACCTGCTGGGAAGACTCGAGTTCCTTCGAAGTAAGGCCAGGGGCCTCTGAACTCCAAGACTTTTTATGACTCTGTGGGGCTCTCACATCCTTCTATGGGCTGTGGTCTGCCTGGAGCTGCTGGTCTTTCCTGCCGAACTGTCGCTCCGGAAACTCACTAGACGAAAGTGGGCGTGAGGGAGGATGTGGTGGACACCGACAGTCCATCATGGACACACCACCTCTCCACCCACCATAACATGACACTGCGGGGTCCCTGAGTAGCCCACCCCCAGTCGTAAGCCAGAAGGAGAGGTTCCGCAGGTCTTTCATCCCTGCCGCTGTCAGACTCTACAACACCTGATCAATGTTGTAGTTTCTGTTTCCAATTACCACCATACCATAGCTTTACCACTTTACCATTGTTTTTTTATATCTGTATTATTATTATATATATAGGGAATTTCCCCGTTGTGGGATTAATACAGTAATACAACAACAACAACTGCGGTTCTGTGTAAACGCAAAGTTAGCTTAAAGGTCCAGTGTGTAACATTTATGAGGATGTGTTGTCAGAAATGGAGTATAATATTCATAAGTATGTTTAGTAGTGTGTAATCACCTAAATATAGAAATTGTTGTATTCTCGTTCCCTTAGAAGCAGAGCATTTTGTACCATGTACAGTGGCTTTGTACAGTAGGTAAATTGTTTTTTTTTTTAAATTGACCGGATTCTCTATGCCATTTCTGTGTCTGACATCCTGCCCAACTTAATCTGCTCTGTGCAGTCTGATGCAGCGTATTCTCCATACAGCAGAGCAGAGAGCCACTGCGGTGCTTCAAGCATCAACTATGATGTTACATGTCCAATGGGGCATTTTTGAACATGGGATCGTGCCAGCTTCCCAGACACTTGTAGTCATATTGACCAACAAAAGGATTTTGAACCGAACCAAAATGGCATCTCATATTATGAAAATAGTTCACTGAAACATGCTTCTGAAAACATTTTAGGCCATAATCTGTCTTCATTTTAGAGTTTCCAGAAGTGGCGAGTCATCCCTGATTGCATAAAGTAGCCTGGACCTCAGCATTATGCAAATAAGGAGCAGCTAATATGACCTGTGGCCCCGTCTCTCGAAGCACTCGATTCATTGTGAGCATTAAGTATTTGACTGAGTCCTCGCTGCAGAGGCTATTGGTTCAACTCCAACCTGTGGCCCCTTGCTGTGTGTCATCCCCTCTCTCCACCCCCCCCTTTTATGTCTATCTTGAGCTGTCCTATCAATAAATGCAAAAAGCCCCCCGAAAAATAAATTAAATGACTAATCCTGTTTATCATACTGGGAACTTTATTTCCCTGGTGAATACTTTACACATTCCTGTACATATTTTTATACTTTTCATATTTTATTGTCAATATATTGTCCTTTTTATCGGCTTTTATATAATATTTTTACTATGTATATTATTATGCACCAAAGGCCAAAGGTTCTGATTCAAATTTTCCTGAGAGAGATCCTCACAGTCTGGTGAAAAGCTGATGGCTTTCCACATTCCCCAGGCCATCAGAGGGAGGTGGTCTTTTGTAACACACACGGGCATTTTCTCCTCCACTAGCAATATATTTTAAGATAAACATTGCTTTTTTTCAGCTGACACTAACCAGTAGCTCATTCAGGTGTGTCCCAACCTTATCTTCTCATCTGGTTGTGGCTTTAAATCTGCAACCTAATATGAACTTGATGACCTGATTTTCAAAATTAAGTCAATTTTCTCCTTGTTTGTTAACAAAGTCACATGATTCACTGGCAAAAACAGAAATAGCCACATTGTGCGCATGATCTGAAATAAGCACTGGAAACTGTGGCATGAGTCTTATTTGTAGAGACATGTAGCTCCACGTGTAGCCTGAATGATCAAAAATATACTCAGGAGATGTTTGCAGACCATGCAGCTGTTTCCCAGGGCTTTCGGTGCTCAATGAGGCGCACCGCAGCGATTTTGACTGTAAGACAAGAATATTAAAAGAAGACAGAAATGATGAGAGATAGGCGTGAGGGATGGACAGCTGAAGAGATGTCTGAGATGAAATCACACTGCTGTTGTAAGAACAAATCAACTCAGAGAAGCAGCAACAGAAAGTAGATCCTACTGTAGAAAGGCAAAGAATGGAAAGATTGAGAGAGAGGCAGAGATCTCTATTGCACAAAACTGGAGAGAACAATGAGTGGCTGTAAGGTTTGGTTGAGTTGATCTTTATTTATCACTTGAGTAAATACCTTTTATAACTCGAAATATGAATAAAGGTAAAAAAAAAAATGCATCTAATTGAATAAAAGTCTCACATGAGGACGTTTATTCACTGATTTCTCTTCGGGTTTTTAAACAAGATTCAGCCTTCAGCCAGGGTTTTGCAGGACTTCTCAAGAGGGCAGCTCTGTTGTGAAATTCTCTGATAACACCTGCTGTCTCATCTCTAGGGGTCAGAGTTAGATTAGCTGCGTCCTGCTGTTATTTTTGCGCCCTTTATGGGTCATGTCATGTATTGGCCATATATACTTAGTAAAAAAGCCACTCACAGCTGGTATATAATCCATAACTCTGATGAAGACCTAGAGTTGATATAAAGTGCTCAAAGAATACCTTTATTACAGAAATTCATCTATATATATATAGACAGAGTATCCACGTTTTTTCCATGGTTATCTGAATGCAAGATTTCCTGGATTTCTGTTTTTTGTACAAAATAACATCTATTTGTACAGCACCAGGAGCAATTTGGGGTTCAGTGTCACTTTGACAAGATATAAAACTAAAGAATAGATATCAGAACAATATAAAACTGAGGTAGAAACAT